TTATTAGAGGCTTCCTCAAAATCGAGCGTACCCATAAACACTAATACACTCAGTCGGAGGGTTTTCAATGTGTAACAGCCTTTTTTTAGTGGATTTTTAGGTGCAATAATTTAGTTTTGACACCTTATATAACCTTTTTGCCTTATAAAGGGGCATTATAGGACAATGGCATAAAAATTCCTTCTGTTTTTTTTTTTTTGAGCGTTGACATAAAAATTCCTCTTAGCACCCTAATCTTGCGCGTAGGATCCCCATTCCCCACAAAAGGATGGTTGAGATGATCCACAGCTCCAAACAAAGTCTATGCTGATCAGTTAGTGCTATGGATCATCCCTACCATTTGTGGTGCCATCCAACGGTGGAGATCATGGCCCTAATAAATCATTTAGGCGTGTTATAAGATCCTTTTTTGGAGGGGCCTAATAAATCATTTAGGCGTGTTATAAGATCCTTTTTTGGAGGGGAAAAGTCCTTAGGAGTCTGTGTAGGATCATTGCCCCATTTATTTATTCATTTTTTTTATATCAGAAAGAGGGACATTTCTCCTTGAAAAAAGTTTATATAAGGTTGCAACCTTACTTCTACAGCTACGGATGCATCTAAAAAATCCATCGGAAAAGTTTGTTTTAATGTTGAAAAACCCTTTGATTGATCATCTCGACATCGAGATATATGACCATGACAAATAAAAAGATTTTAAGGCTTAGAAATAGTGCATTTTACAACATATTATCTACACCGTCCATTTTCAAGATTTTCATATATTTATAGATCTACTTGATTTTAACCATTTTTTAAATTTAAAATTTAATAATTACATATAAAAATAGATTTTGAGATAATCCTAAGAAAATTTTACATCAAAATTATATACCACGATAAAATTTGAAGGTGCACCTTACCTGTACACCTACGGATGCATCCGTACGAAAATTGCACCTTTTCTCCTTTGATATGTTTATATTTAAAATATATTTCTCATATAGTAACTGGAAGAACATGGGAAAGGTTTTTATACTTCCTCTACAACATAGAAGATCTATGCTTCCCCTACCATCCAGCCATCCAATTTTGATCAAGAGTGCCACCCATCGTTTGATCTTAGATCCAACGTCTCAAAGTATTTTATTTTTAGTTCTTTTTGTACAAATTGTATGAATATGAAATTTGGTACGTGCCATCTTCTCATTGGGGCGCAGCTATAAAAAATATTAAAAATAATTTTTTGATAAAATATAATAACCAAAATACCCCTTGAATCTTTCAGGGGTATTTTGGTTATTTTATTTTATTGGAAATATTTTTTTAATACTTTCGCTAGTGCGAGTTTAAGAGAGGATTGGACTTCTAAAATTTGGTGTCAAAATAGTTTATAGAAAAAACAATTAAAAATAGTATAGAGGCGTGATATTGTGATTAAGACAATCTTAACCCTCCATTCAGAATGGACGGTTGGATAAGGGGAAGTATATAAGTTTTATGCTGTAGGGGAAACATAAAAGCTTGCCCGGAAGAACATTAGGAAATAAAAGGACCTTTTCGACCCTCGACCTCCAAATTTGGAGTCTGGCCCCCTTTTTTTTCTCTCGACCAATCCAAAATTTAAAAAAAAGAAAAAGGGCAAAAGAATGAAGAAAATCCTTGAACTTAGACGATTGATGGCTCCATGAATCATGCTAGGGTAGCACATGGAATATTTACCAATTATAGATCCAAAATAAATTTCTTATAGAGAAAAAGTATTCAACTATTTAGGGGCGTATGGCATCAAGTCTTGGGCAACAAACATACCCAAAAAACGCAACTTAGATGATACCCCTAGAAAAAGTTGATATAAGTGTGAGGCTCTAAACAATCAGATTAGGGCGTATTTAAAAAATTTTACTAGAAGAGGCTTTTTTGATGCCCAAAAATCTTCAAATTGATCATCTCAGCCTCAAGATCCATGGATATGAGTAAAAATGGATTTCAAGTTTTGAAATTAGTACTTCTTGTAATACATTTTTGGATGGTCAATTTTCATGATTTTCAAGTTTTCATAGATTTGCTCGATCTACCCTATTGTTGAAGCTTTAAAAATTCATAATTAGAAATGAAAATATATTTTAAGGCTATCATAAACATTTCCAGTACTGAAACCATATTTCTCGACACTATTTGAAAGTGCACTTTACTTTGATTGTTTAGAGCCTCGGCCTTATACAAACCATGCCCATATATATTTAGAGAAGAGAAAATTTTTATAAAAAGGTAAGGCCCTAAATAATTAAATTAAGACGTACTTCAAAATTTCACTAAAAGAAGTTATTTCAATGCCTAAAAACTCAAATTGACCATCTCTACCTCAATGTGTATGGACATGAAAAAAAATGGATTCCAAATCATGGAAATCGTGCATCTTGCAATTTTTTTTCTAGACCACTAATTTTCAATATTTTCAAATGTTCATAGATATGCTCTATCTAAACTATTTTTTAAGATTTAAGTTTTATAATTAGACATAAAACTAAATTTTCATGCCATCAGAAAAGTTTTCAGTATTAAAAAACATATTTCGACACCATTTGAAGGTGAGCCCTAGTATGGTTGTTTAGGTCCTCAGCCTTATACAAACCACACCCATATAATAGCAACTTCATGTAAAGTTGTAAGCATTCATGCATAGATAAATTAATGCAAATTTAATATATTAAAATTGAATTATAGATATTACGATTACGATTTTTAGCTCAAATTTAGATTTTCTATGGGATGAAGTTTCTATAAAGCCAAGTCTTTATGAAAACAAAATAAAGTCTCACCTCAAATCCTTGTCCAAAAAGTACTTCCGGCAATGCAAATCTCCATGAGCTCTAAAATCAATTTCCAACATAAAAAAAAAAATTGAATCAAATGGTCTTGATCTTGCAAATCTTTGAACACTTATTTTTAGGGAGAAATAGATAATCTAGATAATTTGTTACAATATATATTATTTTTAGAGCTTGAAATCCTAATTTTTTTTTACAATCATAATATTCAAACTGAGATTATCAATGAAAAGGTTTTCCAATACTTGAATTGCAATTTTCAATGAGTTATAAGGTGATACGTTACTTATTTTGATACAACTGCAGCCCTATAAAACCGTTTGCCTTTTTCTAATTGATATTTATCTTTTAATTATGGGTGTGGTTTACAAAAGGTTGAGACTTTAAACAATCCAATTAAGGTGCACCTCTAAATTTTATCATTAATGTAATTTTTATATCAAAATTTTTTAGGATGGCTTGAGAATCTATTTTCATCTCTAGTTATAAAATTTTAAACTCTAAAAATCGTTCAAATCAAGTAGATCTATGAACACATGAAAATCTTGAAAATGGATGGTCCAGATATTGTGTTGCAAGATACCCTATTTCATGGACTCGAAATCTTTTTTTTTCTTTTCATATTCACACATCTCGATATCGAGATGATCAATTAGAGGGTCTTCCATCATCCAAACAACATTTTATGATGGATTTTTGAGGTGCACCTTTAATTCTGCATTTTAAGGTTGCACCCTCCTTTAATTATTATTTGTTAGTGTGAATATTAAGTATTATATTTCTTGTTAACCTTTCATAGCTTAGTGGATTAAGTGGAGGAGGCTTTTTCTAATTAATTTATTCATTCACAGTGAGCGGATAGAGGGATGGAGCTTTATGAGGTAGTCTTAATGCTAACAAAGAAAAAAAGAGGAAGTATTGGAAATTTCGAAAGGCAGAGTCTCATAAAAAAACAAGGCTTCATCTCCATTTTTTTATTTGTTGAGTATAGAAGGTACTCATTAAATATAAGCAAAGGACATACCGTCATACGATTAATTTGCTACATGGTCCCTACAAATCATGGCCTTATTTGAGCCTTTTCAAAAACATAATTCTCGTCTACTACGGGGTAAATAACAATTTCAAGCAACATCGTTCCACCTCTTGCTCAGTTGCTCTCGACCCCACTAAATGCTTTGATAAGCGCGAGATAACACTGGGTCCATGAATATAAATCGGACTCAGATGAGCCTATTCAGATAGATTAAAGGTAGTCAATTGGAGTTGGTTAGGCTTAAGTGGCTCGAGCAAGTTTGAGTCAGAGTCGGCGATTTTTAAAACACTGAAAGAGATAAACTTGCTTTTGACATGCGAATCAGGGAGTTTACAGAGGTCAAGAGACCGATTTCCTCTGAGAGGCTCAGAAGAGATTGACCTAGTCTAGCAGAAAATGGAAAACCTACTGAGGCTGGAACTGGATTATAAGAGAGATGACCCTGCTTGGTATGCTCCATTGGAGGGATGAGATACTGGGAAACAGATATATACTTGGTTCTAATGATAAGATAAAGGGATACTAGATATTGTGCATATTGAACCGTGTGGTTCTGTAGGTAAAGCGGAATATCGCATTCGTATCGACCCGTATAGTGTAGTGGTGTAGCTAAAGCGTTATGCCGTATGGAGAGTATGTTTGCAAGAATGAAAATTAAAAATCGATTGAAAAGAAAGGAGGGCCAAAAAAAAAAAAAAAAAAAAAAAAAAAAGATAAGGGCAGAGGTAATTAGTGAACAATTTTGTGGTTAATTTTGTAAATCCTTAAACCCTTCGAAAAAAAAAATAAAAATAAAAAAAAAAAATAAAAAAAATAAAAAATAAATAAAAATAAAAATAAAGGGTCCATTGCCCTCATCCATTTGTGCCTCTCCCAGAAGCGACCTGACTCAATACGCACTTCCCCCGCGTCATCGTCCTTGTTTGACCCTCTCGATAGAGAAAATCATCCAACACAATAAAGTATTTTATAAGTACGGCGTTGCGATGCTTTCAAATTTTCCTCTTATTTAAATATTCTATTCCCTATGTACGTTTCCGCACTACCCCTTGTCCTTCCTGCCCTAGAGTGAGAGGAATTTCCAAAAAGACCATATTACCCTCTGATTTTCTTCACGTTCAGTATGATTACTGCTTTACCCTCCGTCGACCATTTGTTGCCTTCTTATGTCAAGTGAGAAGAGTGAATTCAGAGAGGGTAATTTCAACAATTCTGTCGAATTACTCTCTCTCTATCTCCTCACATCTGACTGGGTGGTGAGGTCTCCTTCCTCTCTCGTCCTTGTTTCCATGGAGGCGTGAGTCTCACCTGCTACAGGCTAATATGTACGGCCTTTCCACGATAGCTCTTGACTTCAAAAAAAGCACCCATTTGCCAATCTAGAGAGAGAAAGAGAAGGAGATAGAGAGAGAAAACCCAAACTCAGAGTCATGGAGAAGATGTTCAAAAGGTAAACACAAAATCCAAACAGGAAACGAGAGAGAGAAGGATAAACAGAGAGAACCCATAACCAGAGAGAAACCAGAATCCAAACAGAAGAGAGAGGGAGGAACTGCCCATGTCTTGATTGAAGAGAGGGAGGAGCTCAAATCCAAACTGAAAGAGAGAGAGTCCCGATTTCTCATTACAGAGGGAGAGTCACAAATCCGAGCCTCCATTTCTGTTTCACCCCATGTTCTTCTCTTCGATGAAGAAGCCATTTGGATCGCCAACCAGCATGGGTTTCTTCAACGCCCTCAACGAAGAAGTCATCATCTTGATTCTCCAAAAGCTCGAAGACCCCCTCGATTTGAAATCCTTCTCTCTCGTCTGCAAATCCTTCTTCGCCATTGAAGCTAAAAACCGCACCCACCTCCAACCCATTCGCTCTGAGCTTCTACCCAAAACTCTCAAACGATACCACAAAACCCTACATTTGGATCTTTCATTTTGCCCAAGAATTGCAGATAGTTGTTTGCACACAATCTCTCTAATTTGCAGGTCCAATCTTCTCTCTCTAAATCTTTCTCACTCGAGGTTCTTTTCTCACTCTGGTCTCTCTCAATTGATCTTAAATTGTGTTAACTTGGTGGAAATCAATCTATCGAATGGAACCCATCTCACTGATTCAGCAGCAGCTGCCATTGCTAAATTAAAGAATTTGCAGAGTCTGAGATTGACGAGGTGCAAGCAAATCTCTGATTTGGGTCTTGGATGTATAGCCGTTGGATGTTCAAAATTGAGGCTTTTGAGCCTCAAATGGTGTTTGGGAATCACTGATATGGGAATTGGCCTTGTTGCTGTCAAGTGTAAGGAGATTCGGAGCCTCGATTTATCATACACGCAGGTAATTTTCTCTCTCTCTGTGATGAGAGAAAGTGTTTTTGGAACAATTGCCATCACTGCATTTAATTTCAATAGCAACTGAAATTTTATTTTATTTTGGGTGTATTTTGATTTTATTGATTCAACCCATATTGCCGAATTGAGGAGATGATCCGAAATTTAGATCTTTTTGTTAAATTTTCTTGTAAGATCTTTGTGTGTGTGTGTGTGGTGACAGGAAGTAGTTTCCAAATAATTGACATTACTGCATCTAATTTTGAAGAGCCTGAGATTTGGTTTGTTGGCTGTATTTCCATGTCAAAAGATTCAACCTATTTTAACAAATTAACGGGATGATTCAAAATTGAGATCTTTCTTGTTAAATGTTCTGGCAAGAGCTCTCTCTCTCTCTCTCTCTCTGCCATACCAGGAATGCTTTTCCAAGTTATTGACATTACCGCATCTAGTTTCAAAAAGAGCCTAAAAAGGTTTATTTCGATGTCAATGATTCAAGCCATATTACGAAATTTAGATTATTCAAAATTGGGATTTTTCTTGTTAAATGTACTTGTAAGCTCTGTCTCTCTCTCTCTCCCTCCCTCGGTGTGTGTGTGTGTGTGTGTGTGGGAGTGGGTGTGTGTGACATGCCAGAAAGTATTTTCAAAATAGTTGAGAATGCTGCATTCAGATGGCTTTGAAATTGATTTTTGAATGGTTACGTTTCTGTGTTCATGTTTCTCAAGTAGTAGTTCTCTCTCTCTCTCTCTCTATGTTTCTCAAGTAGTGGCTTTTACTCTCTCCCCCTCTCTCTATCTCTCTAACAAACCTATTGAAAATTCCAAGTGCTTACTAATTCATGCATTTCTGTATGATCTATCTGAAAGTTGTAATACATAGACGTCTAGATGTTTTGTGAAAACCAAGAAGGATTCTGATGTAAACTATTTTCTTTTCTTGTGCATCATTTATCAATTAAATCACCAAGTTCGCAAGAAACTCTGAGCGCTTACACCTCCATTGCGCATATCTGATTTTTGGTTTACCATATGGAATATTTATTTTTGCTTTTATTTGGTAACCTCTATTCTACTTATTGCTTTCTGATGCTATCAGAAGGCCACTTTACTTGGATAGTGATGCTTCGCTGTTCTCCAGATTACGCAGGACTCTCTGGCTTCAATCTTACTCTTGAAGGATCTTGAAGACCTTTTTCTGGCTGGATGTCACGGGATAAATGATGACGGCCTTGTTACTTTGAAGAAGGGTTGTAGGTCCCTAAAGGTAATCATGGCTTTTGACAAATTGATTATCTTGGTTTTCTTTCTCTTTCTTGAAATGCAATGGTGATTAGCTTACAATAATATGGGCTCCTTTTTGGGCAACTGATTTTTTGCTGGCTTCAGAAGTATATGTATCAGTGAACAATTTGTTTTTAATCTGTTTTTTTTACGTTGCTACGTGGTGTTTGTTCTGTCTTACATTCATTCAAGGATAGTGTGTTTTAGCACCAGGGACATTACAGTAATAGGCAAGATTTTCTGAACTTTATATTTCTTCAATGGAATTAATGCTGTTGAACTCGCGGCAGTTGAGAAGTTCTCTAATTTTTTTGTGGGGTTTGTTATTGTAACCAAATTAAAAAAAAATGTAGAAATTGATATGATAGAATATGGTGGATGCACTTGTAAATTGGCTGAAATTGATTAAAATTCTAAACTTAAAACATTAAGAATTAAGTGTCAGCCATTGAAGTTGTTAACTGACAAAAGGAGCAATAATTATCGTCTTCCCTTGTTTCTCCATGAAAAACAGAGCATATTGAATGTGGTTGTCACCTTTTTTGAAGGAGTTTTGAAAAGTGAATCATGAAGACTTAAAAGTGAATCATGAAGACTTCCTACATAAAGTGGAAGAAAGTTTGCAGATCTTCTCAGCTAACCATGTAGACATAATTAATTTCTGTTTCCGATCATGGTTTATTGAAACTTGGTTTATTGAAACTATGTATTTCACACTTGTATGTATGGGGATAGGAGTGGTCATTTTGAGTGATGTTTAATAATTTTCTTTAATCAATGTTGAGGGAATTTATCTAATTTATCTTTTTCCCATGTTTACTTTATGTTTGATATAAGTGAACATGGAATTGAATAGTCTTCTCTCCTTGAATTGTTCCCCATCCGCTGCCTTGCTCCTTCAAATTTGTCCTCCAGAGTAATATGTGCTCTTTTTCTCTGAGTCCTTATTAAGTAGTGAAGAGCACCAGAAATTTAGTATGCTAAGCCCTTTTTTGAGGGTCATAAGTTTTGACCTTTTCCATAGAAAGTGTTTTCATTGTGACTAACAGAGAAGTGTTATTACCATGGCTATAAAGTGTTGGGATTGTTTCTCAGCAAATTATCCTTTCAGACAGGAAACAACATGTTAATGACATAAAAAAGGACAGAATATGACATGTTTATGAGTATAAAATATGGCGTATATATGATTGGATACTTCTTTCTTGCTTAAGTTATGATTGATACTTCATTTCCCTTAGATCTACATGATGCAGACTATTTACATGGATTATGGATACAAGACCGTGCCTGACTCAAAATAAAAAAATCTGACTCATTCATATTTTGCCTAGTCCATATGAAAAATCTAACTCATCCGTACTACACGTTTGTAGAGATGTATCATTATCATCATCATCAGCCTTTTTCCAACTATTTGGGGTTCGCTACACGAATCCTGGTCCGCCGTTATGTTCTATCAAGGACCATACCCACAGTGACACGATAAGTCCCTTTATCTTTTCTTACTACTTCCAACCATGTCCTTTTGGGCCCACCCTTTGGTTAAGTGTTGGACACGTGTTACAATAATAAGAATGAACCTTATCTCTAGAGAGATTGTGGGGTAGGTGAGGGGATTGTTGGGTGTTGTGGTGGCTAATAGTTATTGGGTAATTAAGCTATCATAACTACACAATGAAGAGCCACACTTCTCTATTCAATAATCACTTCCTTACTCTATAAAGAAGACCCGAGTCTCTCATTTTACAAACAATTTGTGTTACCTAAATTTTCAGCAATAATTACTTTCTCTATTTAGAAATTAATTCCCAAGAATTAACTATTTTCTCTCTCTAGAAATAAAAAGTAACTTTGTCGCACTAAGGGCTCATTATTTTAGTGCATTAAATAGGCGAGACACCCTATGATTTAGAATTTCGACACTCTTTCAAGAAGATTTGTTGAAGTCTGATGAGGTATTTTCATTGTGGTAGTCTGTTTCATTCTCTCTCTTTTTGTATTTTTGCAGGATGTGATATCTTAAGGGTTCATCAATAGGATCTTTGTAGTTCTTTTTGTGTGTTTTTGAATTTGAGCGTGTTTTTATGTTGTTTGCCCTCCAATTCTTAAGACTCCCATTATGTATAAATATTTTTAATGCCGCTAAATATCCATTATTTACAAATATTTGGAGATAGATACAAAAAATCAGAAACCCGTGCTCTCCAATTCTAAATAAATATCGAAATAAATATTTTTTGAACTCCATCAAATTCAATTCTATCTCTTCGTTCAAGGGCCTCCTATCTCTCTCGTTTTAATCCATTTATCCAATGTTTTAAAATTTTAAATCCATAAATATGGCTAAACTACTCACCCAAAAAAAAAAAAAAAGGCTAAACCACTCCACCACTAGAATCATAGTTGCTGGAACCTTGTAGGAAAGGTTACGGACTCGTTCACGAACCTCGATCCCACGATTTTAGTTAGGGAACTTGGATGGAATGCAGATCACTATATTGTGATCCTCTTTCCCAGCAGGTTTGAACTGCAGTTCTCAAGTGTATGACACAGTGCATATGATATTTTTTCTATTTGGCACTGATTCATATGCACTGATTTAGCTTTATGCCCAATGGTAGTGTGAACCCACGCATCATTCTCGATCGCTTAAAACATATTATTGCGATTCCTTCCTGATGGAATCGCGCTTCCTTGTGACAAGGATCGCGCTCCCTTGATATAGGATGGTACAAACAACGATCTCAACCACAAGGAGCTTCCAACAATTCACAGTTTTGCAGACCTGATCTAGCTCTTGCTCCCGAGAGCACACCCGCACCCGACAACTATGACTAGAATAGCAAAAAATGGAAGTTATTGCCTTCTTTTGCTCTTTAAATAATTTGATATTCTTTTTTTCTTATTTTATATCTAAGCATTCTCCCATTGCAAAATCATGTGATTATTATGTGATCACTTATTGCATTTCAATGTCCTATTCCGTTGCATATTTACGAAATTGTTTAAATGAATGCCTATTACGTATCAGCATAGTTTCGATTCCATATTTACGTGATTATTTATGTGATTGTTTGTTTTATTTGTGCAGCGCATGTAATCCCACTAGTTGTATATAAATTTGATTTGACTTTTTAATAGTAAAACTAACTTTAAAAAAATAATACATCAAAGACACACGTGTTTGAGACATGTGTGCCCACACATGCCTACAAAATGACGTGTCTTACAATGCGGACGCACATGTCTTAGCACAAAAAGGATATGCGTCACAATGCGGACAAACGTGTCTTTCTAAGTGGATATCTTTTTCATCCAACCTGTGGACTTGCGTGTCGGTGTTCCTCACGGCCTGCTGGTCCATCCAAACAGCAGGAAACTGTCAGTTTTAGTTGCCCAAACAGCAACGCCATAAAATGCTTTAAGTGTTCAAAGATTGATCATGTCCCTTCCCAATGCCCATGCCCAAATAGAAAATTTGTGACTCTTGCTGACGAGTTTTTTGAGGAGGACAGCACGCGATGTTATAATGGAGCCCTTGTTTATGATGAAGAACTTGAGGGAGAAGAGCCATAAGTGACCTTTAGTGACCACTGGGAGGCTTTGGTGATCCGGCGCATCATGATTACGCATATCGGTTAAACTTGAAAAATTTCTCATCAATTTGCTTCCAAAATCACCAAGTCATTGATTAGGACTTTTCACTGGTCTTTGATGAGTTTTTCAATGAAAAAGGTAGTGATTGAATTTTTGATCAACAACTGAGTGAAAACAAGGAAGGTGGCAATGGTCAAGATGAAGATGAAGTTTTGGAAGAGGAAGATGCTGATTTGGTTACTGAACTAGGGGTTGGAGATGATCATCTCGAAGATCCTCCATTGGTTTGTTCTAGGGCTGAACCAAGGCAACTTCAGCAAGGTTATATGGCTTAATTTGATAGAATTTTAACAAGCTTATATGATTGAACAAACTCTATCAACTTACAATGATCCTTTCCTCGAGGGATTCTCAAAAGTGGTTATGAATATATCAATTCTTTGTCAAGACTCAGTTTCACTGCACAATCGTTGTGTTTGATTAACGCAATAATTTACAAGTCCCTGGATCGTGTTTACAATATTCGAGTTAAAGAAGATGGTCAGATTACCACACATTTCATCTTAATGCACTTCAAAACTCGAGGGCAAGTTTTCTCCAATCAGGGGAGAATAATGGAGGGCAAGATTATTTTTACTTTTAATATTTGTTTAATTTCAAAGGGTATATATTTTAATTTTAGTTTTAGGATTTTACAAGTTTTTAGGGATTCTAGGATTTTTTTATATTTTTTCTTACTAGCCACTAGTTACTATTAATTTTCTTGCTTGTTACTGTTTTCTCAAATTTCCCTAAATCACCTACATAGCAAACATGCTCTCTTTGTGAATACAAAAAAAGCAAATTCTTAGATGTGCATGTTGACACAGATTTCTTGTGTCGGTATGTATGTCGACACACATGTTCTATGTTAGCTTGTCAGATACTCCTAAAGGCACACAGCATGCATGTCATTGTTACGTAGGTTATGAGTACATGCAACAAAGTATGTTAAGAAAAATCCCACAGTATGGGCTGTTACAACAATAAAAAGAGTTAATTTTCATATCAAAGAAAATGCTGCGGTATAGGCACATCAACATCCATATACTATAGTGCATCCATGTGTTTACACATCTATGCGGCTCTCTCTCTCTACATGCACACTTATGTGTGTATTCATTCATCCATGCATATGTATTTGCATGTCTAAATATGTCCACAACTCATAGATCATAGCTTACGTTCATTAATAAACGTAAAGGCTATTCAATGAACCTGGTTAAGACACCTAAGAAGAGTAAGAAGCAAGGTTAATCAGATCATCTATATTTACTATTGGAAATCTGTTACTAATTGTTTTTCTTTCTTTAAATTATGTCGACAAATTTGTTGTTAATTCTTGGAAGTTGTTTCGAAATATTTATTGTGCATTACTAATTGCGAGCTTGTTGGGCGTATGCTTTGATGCTTCCTTGTTTCACCCCTTGCCTTTTGCTGCTTTTTATTAACTCAAGTCTTGAAATTGCCCTTTTAGACTCTTGATATCTCAAACTGCCGGAACGTGACACACATTGGCTTCTCGTCCCTCATAAATGGAGTGGCCTTCTTGGGGCGACTAACACTGGCTTACAGCACCGCTGTAAGTCCTCTCCTTTGTTCCCTACCCAATTTTTGTCTATCTCCATTCTCCCCTTTGATTTTCTTTGCAAGCCAACGTACAGAATTTTTATATATAGTTGGGACTTAACTTCTTGTAGTTTTTCAGGTCATAAATGGCATCAATGATTGCTTGAGAAGCCTTCCCAAATTACATACGATCAAGTTAGATGACAGCCATGTCACAAGCTCAGGTTTGAAAGCCATTGGTGAATGTTGCCCATTGCTAAGAGAGCTAAGCCTGAGTAAGTGCAAGGGGGTGAACGATGAAGGGATCTCTTCTCTTGCACCAAAATGCAAAGAACTAAGGAAATTAGACATCACATGTTGTGGAGAGATAACCAAAATCTCTATAGCAAGTATCTCACAGTCGTGCACTCGCCTCTCCTCTCTCAAGATGGAGTGTTGTAGCCTTGTTTCTGGGGAGGCTTTTGTTTTGCTAGGACAGCGTTGCCATTTCTTAGAAGAGGTGGATTTCACTAGTAATGAAATAGATGATGAAGGCCTAAAGTCCCTATCCAATTGCTCAGAACTCATTTGTCTAAAGATTGGGATTTGCTTGAACATAACTGATAAGGGGCTTAGCTATGTTGGGAGTTCTTGCTCCAAGCTCCGAGAACTTGATTTGTACAGGTATGGGTCCTTTTTTTGCTCCATTATTCATCTTTATCCATCCATTATCCAAAAAAAGGAAAACTATCCCCTAGCTTTAAAATTTTGATACATCTGGGAGAGAAATATGGTTCAAACTCCATTATTCATTCCCACTCCCCATTATCAAACAAAAAATTCCTTTGAGTTATACAAGTGAATGGGTAAATTTTTTTTAACTCCATTATTCCTCTCTACCCAAACATTATCCAATCTAAAAATCACATTTATCGAGTTTTTTATCCACTTTACATTTGAACTTTTTATGTCTTACTTTTGAAGTTCTCATTTTCTAGATCAATTGGGATCGCTGATTCGGGGATTGCAGCAATTGCACATGGTTGCCCATCTTTGGAGATGATCAATATGTCATACTGTACAGAAATCACAAACTGTTCATTGATTTCTCTATCAAAATGTCAGAGACTAAATGTCCTCGAAATCAGAGGATGCCAACATATTTCTTCTATAGGTCTCTCAGCAATTGCTTCAGGTTGCAGGCATCTCACCAAGTTAGATGTCAAGAAGTGCTTCTCTGTCGATGATTCCGGCATCGTCCCATTAGCTCGCTCATCCCATAATCTAAGACAGGTTCTCTCTCTCTCCTCTCTCTCTCTCTCTCTCTTCTTTTCTCTAACTATGGACTGAATTTTATGCAAAGTCTTTGTGAACTTTCTGCAGAAAAATAATTTTTTAAAACATAAAAAAAATTTACTGCTGTAATTTTCTGGAAAAATTTGGTTTGACCTACTAGGCATAACAATCTGTGCACATGGGCTTGTTATACCATGAATCTTGACGGAATACTGGACCGGAATTGGGAAACGAATTTCTTTTCCATTTTCTTTTCAAAAACCAGTGTTTTTTATTTGAAACTTCGATCAGGAACTGGGTTGAAAATCATCTGAAATGCTATTATTCTGTTTTATAAGAATCAAGATTTGGCCAAAAATTTGTCTTCTTAAGTCCAAAATACACTGAGTTTCACCTTTCCAAGTTGGGCAAAATTGTGTCTGAAGTTTGAAATTGAACAGAAAAATGATTTCTTTTTGGCAGATGAACCTCTCATATTGTTCAATCACGGATGTGGGTTTGTTAGCATTAGCAAGTATCAGTTGCCTACAGAATATGACAGTCTTGCATCTTAGGGGAGTGAGTGCAAATGGTTTAGCAACTGCTCTGTTAGCTTGCAGCTGCTTATCAAAAGTGAAGCTCCATTCATGCTTCAGTTCCTTGCTTCCTAGGCCTTTGATTGAACACATGGAAGCTAGAGGCTGTGAATTCCAATGGAGAAACAAACCTTTCCAGGTATGCTCAATAACACTGACCCTACTGAGCTTTCTACATCTTCGAAGTTTATCTTAATCTAAGGGACCTTGAAAAACCTCTTTTGTCTTCGGGTTGGGACTGCCCAATGAAATGAGTGGCAGTGGTGGAGAATGGGATCCACCAGAACAGGACATGATTACAAGTTCGGTCCTGCTCTCTCTCCTTTACAGTCCATTGTTTTATTTAATGGTGATGACTGTATTAGACTGAATTTCCATGGTTCACTAAATCATTTTACATTTCCCTTTCTAGTGTTTGGCAATCAACCTGTCTTTGTGGTGCACCATAAACTGCGATGTCATGGGTACAATATTAAATGGTTCATCTCATATGGGTATTTCGATAATTTCCCTAAAAGATATAAAATATCAAAAATTGTAAAAGATAAGAAGTACATGAAATGTGAAATTGAGAATATAATAAAAAAAATCCATGTACTGAATGTAAAGTTATAGTACCTTATGTTTTGTCCTTGAGCAACTATTTGGTGACTTATCTAACAAAGATTTCAATTGAGAATATGTCTTTTGTCTTTTTATTTTTGAAAAAAATATTTGATTTACTTATGGCCATCATTTTGTCCTAAAGATACTTACGATTCTCTTCCTAATTTGAATATTTGTGGTATGAATTTCTTTAGCTGTTAGATGATTTTGGTTTTTATGTTTAGTACATATTTAGCTGCACACAAATTCTAGCTTATGCACATATAAAAAAAGGTTAAGAAACCAATATCATATGTCCAATGTTAATTTTGGGTCTGACATTTATCTTAAGCCTATATACATTATTGAGGGGTTGAAAACTTGGCAAGTCCTACTTGAACTTGCCTGAAACATTCAGAACAAGGTCCCTGTCAGTTCTGGATATGCCATTTCTGGAAGACCCCTTGAGTCGACCCGAGTCTGGCTGAGACTTGAATTGGTCTTAAAAAAAATTGCAGTGATTGTTGGTCATGAGTCTTGACTAGTCCGACTCAAGACTTGCTGAGCCAACTTGGAAGGGGTCCTACCTGTTTTTGTCGCCACTTCCAGGTTTCACTGGCATTTACTCTCCAGCTTAATTTTAAATCTTATTGTAAGTTGAAAACCGAGAAGACTCCGTATTTATAAAAGTATATAATCTAGGGAAAAATGAGTATGATATCAATGATTGGATTACGGCTTGGTTTTACATGATGTTTGTCTCAATACTATCTTTCAAGGTAATCCTTATCTTTTGTTTAGCTTGTATTAGTAATAAAATTTGGATCTTATAATGAAACAAACTATCCATGACTCAAATGTTTGGAACTTTTCATTTCATGCAAAGATGTCCTAAAGTCAAGTCTTATATGGAACACTTTAACTTTACCGGTTTTGAAACAACTATGCAGTACTCAAAACATCCAGAAGCACCCTGTGTGTGTGTGTGTGTGTTCGTGTGAAATAATTAAATAAGTTTGAGGGCATTTGATATCTTGGCTAGAGTTGCCAATAACCAATGAGTTTCATGCGCATGACATCTTGCCTTGGCAACACTTTGAGCCAAAAAGAAAAAGAGAACCAAGAAAGAATAGAAAAGAATTGATAAACAAATAATATGAATATGCATCAGTTGCAGGTATGAAGAACGAACTGAGGGAAAATGTAATGTTGTTTTGTTCAGGTGGAGGATGGAATGGTGTTGGCAATGAAGAAGATGGGATGATAATTTTCTTTTACTATTTAGTGGCAAAGAGAGTGCCACTCTTAACTCATGGGGACTTCTTACGCCCCCTTTGAAAATAATTAGAAGTCCAAAGAGTCTCTCTGTAGAAATTGAGACCTGAGAGTCCGAGAACCCGAGACCAAGTAAAGGGAGAACGGAGATCGAACATAGCATGAACATCTCTCTCTCTATCTCGTCTTCAGCCAAGGTGCACTATATAAGTCTCCCAAGAAGAAGTAGAGTAAAAATGCTCTACAGAAGTCTTCTAAGAACAACTGGAGGAAAAATGCTCTATGGAGTCTCCGAAGAAGAGCTAGAGGAAAAAAGGCCATTCTCTCTCTCTCTCAAGAAGAGCTAGAGGAAAAAAGGTCATTCCCTCTCTCTCTCTCTCTCTGAGCTAGAGGAAAACAGGCCTTTCGCTCTCTCTCCTGGCAAAAGCCGGATTCTTTTATTGCTTCTCGCTTTGTTTGTGGCTCTTCCCTTTGTACATGTAAAAGGGATTCCTCTTGATTTATCAATTCATTGACCCAGTAGTTTGGTTGTGTCTAAAATTTAAAAGTAACAGTAGCAATAACTTGTTTGAAAATCTTAAGAAAGTGCATATTTATATTTTTTAAATGCTTCCAAAATTTAAACATGATTCAAAATGTATAACTAATATTTTTAAATACGAATTTAGCTTTTAAATACCCTTCTTATAAATGAAAAAGTTTATATAAGGTTGCAACCTTACACTATGGAAGTAAGGTGCACCTCAAATATCCAGTAGAAAAGAGTTTCCCAGAGTTGGAAATTGATCATCTCGACCTCTAGATGTATGAATGTTAAAAAAAAAGAAGTAAGTTCTAAAAATAGCGCATCTTGTAATAAGTTCTCTGGACTATCTATTTTCAAGGTTTTTAATTGTTTATAGATTTGTTAGATCTGTAGTATTTTTAGAATTTGAAATTTCATAATTAAGATTGAGCATGGATTTATAATGCATCATACGTTCCAACACCATTGTTTGACAAAATTTAAAGGTGCACTTTACTTGTACAGTATAAGGTGGGCACTTTATACGAATCAACTTCTATTATAGATAAATACATGTCTAGGTTTAAATGTTGGAAAATTGAAGTCCTGTAATATAGAGGAAGACTAACCCTCGTAAACTCCTACATCAACTTAATAATACTTCTCTAGTATTTTCTTTGAGTAAATCAGTGGGGGAGAAGGCCCTACCTATTTTTTATTAAAAAGTAAAACCCATAACAACATCACGAAATAAAAGAAAGGAAATACATTTTGGTGGTCTAGTGCACTAAATGGTGACATCAGAAAAAAAAGCTTTTTTAACAAGTATATCAGTCACTGTATTAGCCATACAATAGATATAACAAATCTCGATGTTGTCTACATTGTGAGATGCTACGCCACAACCAGCACCCTTTTAGCTTAGTAAGAAAAGAAACTTGTAACCTCAATACCAAACCCTATTGCACAATTGTCAATCACCTTTACCAAACTCTATTGTGGATGTTCGACACATCTAAAATAGTCAGCCTCAATACCCAGAGCTTGGTAGCACACTACTTCTAAAAGAAATTCCCTAAGAATTATTTACGAACTTTGGAAGATCTCTTTTCCTACATTAGCATGTGGGTAATTTGATAACAACAGAACCAGAGGGCGAAATAGAACAAAAACAATCCCTCTAAGAACTTATGAGAGAGGTTACCTGGAAAATCCGAGGTTGCATTCTGAACTTTTAGATCTCCAACCAATGGATGTTCCTTTTCTACAACATTGTTAACAAGTCTTGGTTTAAAATACGATTTTTTTTGAAAAAATCTCCAATTTTTTTATATCCATTAAAAACTCTAAGTTTTTCGAAAAGATCTTTAAAAAATCACGTTTTTTTAATGGAATCGATATAAATCCGTATTTAAATACGATTTTTTCAAAAATCTAACTCTAAATTTTTTCAAAAAGATCTTAAAAAAATCACATTTTTTAACAGAACTGATATAAACTTGTCTTTTATCTTTTCTTCAAAAAAAAACTTTTCAAAAAAACTTGTTTCCTATAACTTTATTTCTTCATAAACTTAATATTATTGAATTTATTTTAAAGATAAGCACATTAATAGTGGGAGTAAATAATAATCTTGATTTAATAAAAAATTTTCTATAAAAAATTTCACCTATTAGTTCCCCTAGAAAAATTGTATGAAAAAATACAAGCAATATATTCCTCAATAAATAAGATATCAATATAGTCGTATGTCTCAAAATAATAGGTGGAGTTAGAAGAAGAGTAATCCAATGAAATTTTCAATAAAACTAAAGGTAAAGGCAGGCAAGAAATCAATGTGAAATTCGAATTTATTTAAACATTTTGTTGCTTTCTTTATGCATAGAGAAGTTTGATTAATTTCATATTTTATTTTTATATTTTATTTTATTGGTGTATACAATATTGCATTTTGGATGAACCCCTATTTTACATATTTGGGTCTTTGTGTTTTGCTTTAGTTAACTGCAATTCTATACTATTTTTATTAATGAAAGGTAAAGGGCTTTCTCCCCCACTAACTTACCCAAAAAAAGAAAAAACTGAAATTCTATACTAAGGGTCTTTTTTGTTTTTTTTTTCTCTGAACAATAGTCCTATACTTTTGGTTTAGAGTTCTTGTTATTTACTAATGTATTCATTATGTTTAGTATCATTCTTGTTGTTTCATTTTATGCTCCTAATAAATCTATAAAATGTTTTCTGTTGTGAAAATAGAGTAACCATTGTTATTGAATTTATTTATTACTCTAATGACACTATCTAAGGCCATAAAATTATTCTTCAGTAACTTTAATATATCTATAGAAAAATTGCAATTCACAATCCTAACATATATTATCTTTACATATTTGATTTTTTCACATTTTTTTTGAGCCAAATCTAAAATATTCATAATTCTATGACTTACCTTATTTTTTGATGATCCATATTTTTTCCTTTGACTTTTTTGTAATAAAATCTATTTATTATCGATATTTTGGTATGCCGATATATTATTAATCCCTGACTTATTAACTATGGTCAAGATTGCATCTGTACGTCCGGAGATTCGATATATGTCAATACGCGACACGATAGAAATAATAAACGTACTAAAGTAATACCGGTGAAGAACCCGCACAAAGCTTATTGAAATGCCCAAATTTCAAAATTCCTATTTTTCTATATACATTTTGAAATGGCCTTCTTGTGACTTGCCAATGTAGAAATGAAGAATAACAAATTCTTTTAAAGTTCGCATTCACTTTTGTCATTTTAAACTAGTATCACATCCGCAGTGGAAGGTTACACATTTATGTGCTCCAAGTGTAACAATGTTAATCATTTTTTTTTTTTTTGACACATGTTATGAACTTTTATTAAAGCAATGCTTCAAGAGTATGAACTTTTAAAAATTTGCAACAAGAGAAGAGAAACACCATGTTTAACAAGTCCATCAGCTGCATCATTGGCTTCGAGCATGGTGTGGCTAAAGCTTATCCTCAAATTAAACCAGGCACATAGGTCTTGAATTTTTAACCAAAAATTAAATAGGGACCAGGGGATTATTTGCTCTTTTTGACCTACCACTTGATAACATTAAGGGAATCTTCTTCAATTTTAATATCACCAATGAAACCCCTATCAATGATAATATGAAGGCCTTGAAGGAGAGCAGCCAATTCAACATGATTGGCTGTTGTTGATAGCATATGGCTCTAGGCCTTCTCTTCAGCATTAGAAGAGATGTGAACTTGTTCAAGCTGTTGTAGGAGATTCTGAAGCTGCGAAATAACCATGTCCAATAGCCTATTGTAGTGGCATCCGATGTTTTAGACCATACAGTTAGAGGGAAAAGAGAAATCAACCCTGAAAGTTTTGCATCAGGTTGAACAATTCTAACAAAGAGGTTAGGATAAGTAGAAGAGAAAGGTACATCACCAAGTCATTTGTTGAACCAAAAGAGAGTGTTATCTCCATTTTCAATAAGCCATCTGATGTTGCTGAAAACAATATTTCTGCAGCTATAAATATACTTCCAAATCTGTGAGGTGAATTTGCCTCATTTACCTTTTTAATCGAGTAGGTGAGATGATCGAAGCCATATTTAACAATTAGCACATCCTTCCAGAGATAAGAAGAGTCTTGAAAGATTCTCCACCACCATTTGGATAGAAGCACCTAGCTTTGCCGACACACAAATCTGGTCCCAGTTTACCAAATGAAATTTGCTGTGGTTATCCTCCATATTACCCCGAATGAAGTTTCGCATATATTTTTCAATAAGCTTGATTATTTCACTAGGTATTTATAGGACTGACATCAAGTAAATAAGAAGATGTGTATAGGTGGATTTAACCAAAGTGATACACTTACCAAAAGATAAAGTCCTTGTCTTCCATAGGTCTAATTTAACTTGATACCTGTGAATAATAGAGTCTCAGGCAGCACGAGTGAGATTACGATTAGAGATAGAAACTCCTAAATATATAAGGGGAAACTTCTCAACTCTGTAACCCAAAATTGAAACAAGAGAATCCAAAAAGTTGTTAGAGCAAGAGATGCTCACAATTGAAGTCTTATGAAAATTTACTTTGAGGCCCAAAGCTAGCTGGCAACATAAGAGGAATATGATCAGATTTTGCATTTGCTCTTCACTGGCATCACAAAAAATTAGGGTGTCATCTGCATATTGCAAATGTGAAATAATAGGCCCAGATAAGCAAACTTGAAAACTTGTAAGAAGACCTATATTTACAACATTAATCATATCACTTGAACAAATAAAACATTATTTCCTATCAGAGACCTGTAGTAGGAAAGAGCGCTACCCACGCCTAGAATAATGAGCCTTTTGGCGGGCCGGAGGCTTGAACAACACAACCCGGGTTTATTGTTGGGGAGTTTAGATTCTTAGGACTGAACTCACTCTAAAACGTTCGTGGTAGGAATAGAACTCAAAACATCATGCAGGAGTACCCACTATTGTGATCACCTATGCCATTAGTCTATTGTAGATTGGCCTCATTGAGGGTATGCCATTTAATAGAGCAGAATAATGGACCATGATTCATGTAGTCGGCCCCAATTAATTGGCAAAAAGCTATTGAGATGATGATGATACTTATTTGGATATTGTAGTAGCTCCAATTCATGCAGTAATATGTAAACAAGTGAAAGAACTTTCTTTTACTTCTTGTCAATTTTTTTTTTTTTTTAGCGGATTTATCGAGTCATGGGTGGTGTTTGCCATTTCTTTGATGAGTAGGAATATACATGGGCTTGCTTTGAATGGGTGGAGGAAAGAACAAAAATAGTTAATGCAAATGGGTCCTTAGCTCAAGACAATTTTTGTGGATCGTGAACATTTAAGTACTTATTATGAACATTATCTACTTTTATGTTTAAACCCATTCCATGCTAACTTGAAGGTACCCAAGAGGGTACTACGGAGGGATTTTGTCGAAATGCAAGAGCCTTATAATTAACAAAAAGGAAGAAGTTTAAATAAAGTTCAAACCTAAAAAG